GATCCGGACACGGGGGTTCTCAAAACCAGTTCTCAAAACCAGTAAGGGAAAAAAAAACCCTCCAAAGAGCACTGCACTCGCAGTGAAGTTTGAGGGGTTTTCAGTTAAAACAAAAAAAGCTAAATTGGAGATGATGTTCCTCTGCAGAGAAAGCCCCTTGGAGTCAAACAAGTGTCCCCACCCAACCCTGCTCTCCACCGCAGGGACGTGGGCCAGGCTTTGCCAAGGAGACTGAGGAGTTCAGGCGCTCCAACCCCGCTGGCATCAGGCTCCTTTGAAAAATCCCAACCTTTTCCTTTCCCAAAGGCACTGACAGGGGCACATTCAGCAGGCTCTGGCCAAACTGCTCCTGCCGCGCCGCGCCGGGAGCGGCTGGGGCGGCGGGAAAAAAAAAACCCAGCAGGAGGGACAGGCCTGGAGTCAGGTGCAACGAGCAAAGTGATCCTTGGGATGTTTCCTCCCCGGCCCAAACTAGCAGCTCACGTTACAGGAAGGGGAGCAGGTTAAGTTATTGATTAGATGTACACCACGGAAAGCTCCAAGCAGCAGCTACCTTCTAGTTCTGAGGAGATAGATAGACGTGTCAGCAAAGGTGTGGAGAGAAACCCGTCTTAGGTCTACCTGACTGTGCATGACCGAGCAGCCACCACTGCCCTGCTCGTCCTGGTGACACTGCCACCACCAGTGACCACTGCCCTGCTCCTCCCGTGATCCTGGTGGCACTGTCACCACTGCCACATGGCAGTGACCACTGCCCTGCTACTCCTGCTCTCCTGGTGGCATTGCCACCAGCACCACACTGCAGTGACATTGCCACCACAGCAGTGACCGCTGCCCTGCTCCTCCTGGTGACATTGCCACCACCAGTGACCACTGCCCTCTCCTCCTGGTGGCCTTGCCACACCGTTCTCGGGGTGACTTGGACACCAGACACTGATGGAGCACCCAGCAGTCCAGCCCAAACCATGGACAGTGGGGCTCTTGCCTTCCGAGCCGTTTAGGGAAGTACCGCATTTCATATTCCCATGTTTTCTACTCGCAGACCCTCAAACCAAGTCTGCCCAAGGGAATATTTTTTCACAGCTTTGCCATAGAGTCACAGCTGACCGAGTCAAATGTCACTCTGTAGATGTGGAGAGGGAAGGGGTAAAGCACAAAACCCTTCGTTTTGTTTCCTTTAATCTTTCAGAAGCAGTTGCGAATCGCTAACCTGGGCGCATCCTTCATCCTTCTCCAAGCTACCTGACAAGTCAAAGGGGATTGAGCTTCCTACGTGCAGTGAACCTTATCCCCACACCTCAGTCCAGCCAGTATAGAAAAGTAAAACAGTCTCAAAACTGAAAAAAAAAAAAAAAGAGAAAAAAAAGTCACACTGCGCTTAGTCTTTGGTTTCCAAGTTCAAAGGAGGAATCTGCTTCAAAGCTTGAAGCAGAGCCGAGGAGTCGATGGGGGAGTGGGCTGGGACAGGAGAAGGGAGTCTCTGGGGCATGAGCAGCGGGGGAGAGATTTTGTCGGGGTTGATGAAGCCGCTGAGGGCGGCGGCGGAGGCTGGCAGGCTGGGGTACAGCACCGGCACCGACGCGGGGTACCAGCACTTCTCCAGCATGGGCAGGTAGGCCGTGGCGGACGGTGGGATCAGGTAGAAGGGCAGGCACAAGGGAGGCTGGTGAGCGTGGGGGCCCAGGAAGCCGCTGGACGAGCCCATCACGTCGCTGCCGAAAGGGCCCTCGTCCCCCGGCGACTCCAGCCTGCTCCGTTTGGCCGGCGGGTCCTCAGTCTCTTGCTTAATGGAGCTTATTCTCTCCTGCACGGCGTACTTGAGGTCGGTATCCTTTTTGAAATAGGGCTGCTCGGATTTGGAGTCACTTTTCTCCAGCTCGCCCCCGTACCCGCTGTCCGTGTCCGTGTCGCTGCCGCTCTGCTCCCCGCTGGAGTGAGCGAATGTCCGCTGGATCACGGGCACGCAGTTCTTCCCGTGGCCCTCGGCCGCCGTGCCCAGCGGCACAGGCTTCTCCTTCAAGTCCACCAGTTTGGGAGGGATGTCCCCGGGCTTGCGGACGCCTCCTCCCTGCAGCACCTCCGCGGCCATCCTGTGCAGGTGGCTCACCAGCTGGGCCGACTTCAGCTCCTTGCCGTTCTCGTGCTTTGCCAGGTATTGCAGCATTTCCTTGGCACACATCTGGAAACCGGATCGAAACATTTCCTGGCTGGAATCAAGGTTTCTTGATGACAGGTCACCTGAGGAAACATTAACAGAAAGGAATTAAAAATTAACAACGTGCTAAATAGTTCCATTTCCATCTTCCAGGCACGGCCGAGGAGATGTTGAACTTGGGTTACAGCACAGCCAGAGGGGGATGTGATGGTCAGCCTGGACTCTGTGAGCAGAAATCCCTGGATTTCTGCAGAAATGGACATTTTTATGGGAAAATCCACCTGCTCACTTTTACCTAATAACTCTCCACTTATTTTTCACTGTCTGTTTACTGTCTATTCCACTTTCAGCAGGTGCTGGACCACAGAGCACGGGAGGAAAGCCCCCGGGGAAGGCAGCGTGCAGCTCACCCTGCAGCTCCAGGCAGGGAGCTCCCGGAGCCAACAGCAGCTCCCGGGAGACTCTGCTTCCCTGGCAGCTCCACTGCACTCCCTGTGGCTGTCGGGGCACGGACAGCTCCTCTGAAAAACTCAGTTTTACTTTATCAGATTCACGTGAGTGCCACATGTGAAAACAGCAGGAGGAAGTGCATCTAAAGCTGATAAGCTGAAGCACCAGGTCTCCTCTTTGCCTGCAGAGCACAGGCCACTTGGTTATAAAGGAACTTAAACAGGGGGTATAAAAAAACAGATTTATATCTGTTTTCAGAGAAAACAATCAGACAAACCCCACTGGGTTATCCAAAGCTCATGAACACAAATGGGAAGATTCAAATAGCTTTGGAGAGAACCTCACAGCAAACCTAAGCCTTAACTACTTAAAAGCCAATTTAATGCCCAACCAACTCCACAGGGCACTGACCACCTTGAGAAATGCCTTTCTCTTTGGGAAAGCTCCTAAGCAAAGCCAGAGCAAATGACAGCAAGGAAAGTCCAGAGCTCCTGCCTCCTCCCTTCCCAGGAACGAGGTGTCCCAACCGCGTCTCGCAGGCTCCCCAGAGAAATCCCTCACGCACAGGTTCTCACACGACGCAGTTTGAACACTCACCCGCTTGTAAACCATTCTGCAGAGCAATGATCTTCTGCTGCTGCTGCTCGATGAGATTGGTCAGTGCCTTCACATGCTTCAAGGTGAGCTCCAGAACCACAGCCTTCTCCAGGTGCCCTAGAGTCTGGGCACAGAGGGAAAGGTTGGTGTCTGCTGCAGGGTCAGACACACAGGCAGCAGCCTGACAGTGCCTTCCAGGGAACCGAGGGAGGACAGACACAGTGCAAGCCCAAGCAGTGCAGGACCATAACCGACAATATTCCAGGGAAATAAGTTCAAAAGCAGGCTCTGGAAAAGGCTCTGGCAGAACCCTAGGGGTATTTTCGGAGCAGCCGCATAGCTCCGAGAAACCGTTTATTTATCCGTTGTGCTGTCCCTGCCGGCACCGGGACCCGAGGAGCTCGGGAGAGCCCGGCCGGGGGGTCCCCTGGCTCGGATAAACGGGACAGGGTCCGGGGGAGCAGCTCTCGCATCTCGCAGAGCCACCCGCGGACTCAGCTCCCGGCAAAGTTTGGGATGCGCTTCCATCCCTCCCGGGCGTGCGGCACCGCGGAGCGAAAAAAAAAA